ACACACACACACACACACACACACACACACACACATATATATATATGTGTATATGTATAGGGTGTGCGTACCGCGCGCGCGAGAAAATGCATCAACCTGTTGCACACGTTCGTCACTCACCTTGATTGCCGGAGCCATGCCGAAAGCCGGGAATCGGTCGGTGTTCAAGATCGCGTCGTTTGATCTTAAGCGAGACGAAAGAGTGAGACAGTATCGATCGCGGCGATGGTACAGCTGATGTGTGTATATGCGTATAGTGGCGACCTGCCGAGGAAATCTCTCTTCGTGTGCTCTTTCTTGCAGTCGACTCGGCCACAGTCCTCTCACCGCGAAATCGCGCGACGCACTGGACCCAAGAGAAGCACGTATTCGGGCCTTTCCTCCCCTTCTTCCTGATAAACACTAAAGTGCTCGTAGCGTACGACACGTGATATATACCGGAGAATTCCGGAGTATTCCGGAGAAGTGCATACTCTCCTGGTGTCCAATACTGTTGGAAGGGGAAAAGGTGCGTGACGTACTCGTAAGCGAGAGGCCACGTTTTTTTTCCTTCTTTCGTGAATACACGCATGACGGATATACGACCGGATGCAGTTATTTGCGACTTTCGGACCATTGCTTTTTTTTCGCGGAAGAAAGGAACTGAGCTATTAAATATTTTCGCAAGCTCTCTCGGATAATGTATAATGAAAAAGGAACAAAATTAGAGAATCACAGAGATATGAAATTTCTTGAGATTTTATTATTCTGAAATTTAAACTCACTGAAAATAATTAGAAAATTGAACGAAATTGTGTAAACTAATGGATAAATTAGAGAATTGCCGATGTCAATCTAAGAATCAAGGTTCAACACAGTCTTACTTTAAGAGCCTCCTCTAACTTTGATACGATGGATATTTGCTGAAAAATTTATATTTCCGGCATAATCGGTATACGAATGTCATTTTATCAAGCATATCGCAAGCTTTCAAGTTTTTCTTTGTGATTGTGTCGACATACTCGAGGCGGAACGGATTCGCCTCGCGAGTCGCATTTCTTGGAAAAGTCGAGGTGGATATCGTTAGGCAAGCCGCCTGGTCGATTTCACCCATTGAAGAAATCGCGCTATCATTGATGGCTATTTTCATTTTGTTTTCTTGGCGGAAATGTTTCATATATTACGTAATTATGTTATATGTGGAGAGAGATATGAATTCACGAACTCTTTCTCAAAGCTCTTTAAAATAACGATTTGACTGAATAGATTAAATATTCCTATGGATAAAACACTGACGGCGATTAATGCGACCCTATAGCTTACTTTTACCTTAGCTTAAAATATAGAATCCGTTTAAAAATGCCGTAGCTTTGTTTTATTTATTATTATTTTAGTATTGTAATTCATATTATGTGAAGCATCTTAATTTGTTATCTTGATATTTCCTTGCAAATATAGCAACTTATATATGTATATAAATAATTATAAATAGAAATTGACCGATAAGAGTATAATTAGATTTATTATCATTGATCTAAAAATGTATATACAATATAAAAAATATATGTGTATATTTATAAATCAAATAAGATAAAGGATTCTATTTCCGGTTGAAGCGAATCTTAGTGCTTTTAATATTCATATGCAATAAATTTTTGCAAATGTATAAAGTTAGCTCTCAGTGCATATCCAGTAGTGCGTATCCAACAGTATATCATAATAAAAATGTCACCACGCGTGATTTTCGATACATGAGTTTTCTGATTTATCATTTCATATTTTTGATTTCTATTTTAGTCTCTGTATTTTTAGTTAGATTATTTATTTTTTCCGCTTTCAAAAAGATACTTTCTCTTCTCCCTTTCTCTCTGCTCCTCTTTTTCTCTCTATGGTCCTACTTGTTGGATGACACCGCATAATGATAACAAGCAGACTCGCCTGGTAAATATTTCCACATTCCGCCAACAGAATTAATCATCGCCACATGAAGTAAAATATATTCGCCAGCATGTAAAAATACGCATTTATCTCGTTGTACGCTCAGGTGCAGGTCTCAGTTTTTTACACCGACTCTCCACCGCTTAATGTGGCATTTGCATCGCAAATTTCACCGCTATTTCCTTCGCCGGATACATCCGATCCGCAAAGTTGCATCGTTATAAAAGCAATCCCGATAAAATCACCGACCTGTCTCTCCTGCGAATAACGAGCTAACGAGCGTATTTTTCGGCGCACCGTCGTCTCGGTTTACCGGCGTCGCTCTCTCGCTCTGTCCCGTTAACCTCTTTCTTTTATATATATATATATACGTTTCGTTGCAACGTCATAACCTGGAAGCACGGAAAGTGTTCCCGATAAAATCGACGAGTTTAATGGAGGCGATCGGTGCGCGCGATGTCGCGACTCACCGCGTTGCTCACGTTTGTACATTCAACGTAGTACTCGTTCGCGACGATAACGGGTTTCGAAAGCGAGTTTTGATAAAAAAAAAAAGATAAAGAAGAAGGCACGATGAAAAATACAGTTGTGAAAGAGCGGATGCACCAATGGAATGTCTCGCTTCTATGTTGACGCGATGGACCATCGACGGAGAAAAATTGTGCCTTGCATCGATAAAGATGACATCAGGTGGAATTCGGCTATGCACTTTCGAGTCGAAAAATCTTTCGTGCTATTTTGTTAACAGAATCAACTTCTGCAATAATATCCAAAAGAAAATAAACGCAGGAGTTGAAATGTAATTAACTCAATCATCGAGTAATAAAATTAGCCATATTATGATTACCAATATTTGTGATTAATCTGTATTCATGATTGATGAGCAATGGAAATAAAGATGGGGAGAAATTAATCATAGATTATGATTAAATTATCAGTTACTAATTAAAAAGTGAATATATTTTGGATGATGAATAATTCAACAAATTAACGGGAGAAGAATTTTAAAAAATACCGGAGTTTTCATAAAGTTCTTATCTATTAATAAAAATGCAAACGAAAATCTTCAAGTTAATAGTAAGAAACATTTAGAGATGTCTTACTTGAATGAGAGATAAAAATTCTTATGTAAAACTTGGACACTTGTCGTTATTTGCTTCAACTTTTTAATTTCCCGTAAATATTTTAACATCCAAACTTGGAATTAAAATTTTACTAAAATGTGAAAGTTGAAATGAAGAGTGAATTTTATTTTATATTTATTTGCACTTTCCAAAACTTCGCAAAAAAAATATATAAGCAAATAGAGTAAATAATTTAGATATTACGAATATCTCGCTACTTTTCATTAGAATTTCTCAGATTAAAAAAAGAATATGATGTTCACATTTAGTACGCCGATAGCAAATTCTCCGCGTATTAATCCAAAGTTTTTCAGCGTTTTGCTGGCGACATTCTAGAGAGAGAAAGAGAGAGAAAGAGAGAGAGAGAGAGAGAGAGAGAGAGAGAGAGAGAGAGAGAGAGAGAAAGGATGGATTCCAGGCCCTGTCGATCGCATTGATTTGTTCGTTAGTTTCTCGCGTAGAGGGATTTAATTTCCCGGGGAACAACGAAAAGTGTATTTTTGTTCCGGAGATTTTCGCACCGGCGGCATCCAAAAGAGAGTGGATTCCGACAAAGTCGACGTGTCAGTGCGATGGCATCCTCCCCCTTTTATGCTTCGATTTTTTTTCCGCGCTGCCTCTCCGTCATTGACTCTACCTTCTTTTTTCCTTTTTCGTCACCCCGACGAGGTTGTCGGGCGGGCTGTTTGAATGGGCGATCGTTTCGAGGCGATCCGATTGTTCCAACGGAACGAGTTTACCCTGAAAAAAAAAAAAGTGAGCCCGATGGGGAAAGAGGAGATCGATGGCTTATTGTACTGTTAGTCACGTCGTGTGACTCTTCTGCAGAGGGGACGGGAAGAAAAGTGCGGAAGAGGCAACTTGATTCACCTCGCGTTGAGTTTATTTAACATTTGCAGCCGCTTAATAGCCCAATTGGTTTTATACAGGTATATCCCTTTTGCGATGTGTCCCATGCATACTGAAACGCGCCAGTTCGTGGAGTGCGTGACAATTATCATTATTATTTAATTTAATAATAATTTAACAGTTATATATATACATTCCTACTTTATATCGTGAATTATTATATAATTATAATTCATAATTAAATTTAATTAACTTTAATTATGTAACTTTTGTAGCTACTAATACGAACATTTAGATATTTCTTATTATTCAAGTTAATCGATTGTGTTGATTTAATTATATTTACAATTCCTCGTCTTCTCTTAATTGATCCGCGCAACAGTAACGTAATCAGGTAGCAAGTATTGCGACATAATAATAACGTAATCAGGTAACAGGCATTGCAATATATTTACTAGAAAAAAATTATACTTATAGTGCGGGACGATGGCGTACAGTCCTGAGAGAAAATTACGAAACCTAACCCCGATGATTAAGTCGACTTTAACTGGGAATGTGTCGGACGTAAATTTGAGATATCACGCGAATGTGGTCGTGTTAATTCCTTTTTTTTTTTTTCGTCGTTATTTACCAAGCTATCGGAAAAATTCAACGGTTTTATCTTTTCCCCGGGTTCGCGCAAATGGTTTTTCCGTTTCTACATGGCGCGTGTAACAGCCATAACACGCGTGAATAGTTGTGAATAGTGAATTGCATAAATAAACGGTGTTTCGTGTTTCAATTCGCGCAGGGAAACGAATGCCTTGTTGTACGTAGCACCATTTATATATGTACATGCACACCTCGGCAATCGGTCGCTGCGCTGTAAATCCTTGACTGCCAAGCGAACTTACCGTGAGGTGGATCAACGGACGGTTAAACCGGTAGATTAGGGACGGGAAAAGGATGATGCTTGTTTTAACCCTTCTACGAGGGTTAATCTTCTCCCGGAGAATTCGTATAACTGGTCCCGTAGCTTAACAAGGGGATTTCCCTCTGAGAATATAAATTTAGATAAACAAGTTTTAATCGCATTTTGTTGCTGGAAATTTCACCGCCGCAACGTTAACTGCAATTTAATTATGTTAATTTTAAACGAATTTAGTGTCCGTCATTATTCGCGCTCGCGCGCGTGCGGAATCGGCGGAAAAAAAATTGCGTGCTTAAATGTATGAGATTACACGCCGCGCTGCTACCTAGTAACGGTTACGCGAAATTAATCGTTTAACATTAAATTTATCGACAGAACCGTCCCGCTTTTGAGCCGCGCTTGATATTGGCTAGATTAAATAAACTGTCTGTGTTATTTAAATATTTATTCGGGGGAAATTACTCGTGTCGGCTTAATAAATTCAACTATGATTTCCCCGCAGACTTCATCTCAGTAAGTTTCGAGGCATTGAACGTTAGAAAAAGAGTAGATAAGAGATCTCTCTCTTCCTGCGGATTTATTTTTACTTCATTTCGTTTAAAACGTAATCCGATTGAGCTTCTTATCCCCAAAAATCCACCGTATCCTCTATCCAATAGCAGTAGTGATTTTGTAGATATTTTCACGTAATTATAAAAATATTGTGCGCGTTCGTTTTTTTTTTGTTCAAATTATTTGGTACATTTGTACTCTCATTTTTCACATATATGAAATTCAGTCTCAAAAACATTTTACAATTTAAAAATGTTAATTGCTTTTAAAAATTTTCAATATTTATCATCTAATTTCAAAATGTTAATTTCGAAATAAAAAGAAAATTCGCGATTTGAAGAATTAAAAATACAGCAACATGTCATATATTTGTAAATATTCCAGAAAAGTTTATTCTGTATTACAGGCGCAATAGATATTTCTTCACGGTTTACAATTTGCATCGAGAGGAGAAACAGCTTCAGCTGAAGGACATCTCACGCAGATTTGCTACAGCATTGTTCGTGTATAGAAAGTTGTCCGCCGACTGAGACGGGGGGGGGGGGGGGGGGGG